ATAGACTTAAAGCAGAAGAAGGGAAACCTATCACGGTGAGATGTTCTGCTGACTGTAACCCCGCCTGCACTGTGCGAACTCATACGACGTCAATTGCAAAGGGCGAGCTGCAAAGAGTATCACCTAATTATATTTTGGATTTGGTCAAGCAGGGTCCACATTTCAAGACAAGTTTCGGTGCTATACATGGTCATGACTATGGCACTCTGCCATATCTGTGTATTAATAACACTATTTGTTGGTTTAGGCCGCATTCAGCATGTAAACGCAAATAGGTATCATTTCCCTACCCACCTCCGTCAAGGAGGACATCTTCACAAAAAGTAAGTTGTGTTCAAATCGCAATATCTTTCCACAGCGTACGGTTCATAAGGAAATGACCCATTTTTATAAGGAAATATTATCGATTGATTCATTACAAACACCTCATATCAGATACTGTAACTGTCAGTTTCAACGCAACACTGTGGTGGCTATGCTTATGTTTTACCTTGTGACCGTAGCACTATATATGTGTGGTATGTATCGGCCTTAGTAAACACATCTTTATACGGTGCTTTAGTTGCTTTTTGCTTGTGCTTAAGGTACATTCGCAACTTTGATGTTTGTATCAACTGTTAATAAGTTCTGACTCTAATTATTTGTTTTGTGCACAGGTCTCTCCTCCGTGACAACTGAATACCCACATACTGTTACACGTGCTGGCTACGATGTTAACATAACCATGAACGTAACGAATGCCAGGACCCCATATTACGTATCTCGGAAGGTTTCGGTAAATGAAACGTTGTTATTGATCGTGCCTCTGTCACACCGTGTAGGGGTACTCAACAGCAGTCACACCGGCTACACGACAAGGATCAGATACACAGGGGAAGTCCCACTGTCACAGACCGGACAGCTGAGGTTTACCATCTACAATGTTACTGTACATGACGCTGGTTCTTACAACTGTCACTTTGGAGAGAAACAGATAATACCCGGATGTAGACAGATCCTCGTTGTATCACGTATGTATTACACGGGGTTAACAGAATAACATGTCAAGAAATGTATACATTGTAGGTATAAAGCTGCAGTGGCGTAATTAATAACAATCCTAAGCAAGTATCCTTGCAACGCCTATATTATCAGTGACATCAGTAGTAGAGCCTTAGAGTCGTGTAGGAAACTTTAATATTAATTCAACTAAACGATAAGGAACAAAAGGATAGGAGTCTGACATTACTTTCTGCTATAACTATGAAGCACTGACAGTTTCATGTGAAGACATTATCGATAATAATGAGTTTCGAATGCTATATTATTAAAATATCAAATCATTAAAGTTTTTTTGGGCAGTCGTTTGACAGTCCCAGCCCTGTTGTTTAATATGTAAACATAAGAAGATAAATGCGTATAAAACTGCAATACCGTAATTAATAAATAACATACAAAAATATAGCTGCAAAGAGTATATTGCTGGTATCATTAGCCGCCCAATAGTTTTACTGAAACTATTATATTACAGGGAAGCCGACCACACCTAACATCACAGGACTTGCCTCGGCTGTATCAGATGGGAATGTCACCCTGACATGCTCCTCCTCCTCTCGGAGTCTGCCCCCGGACCACCCGCCACTGAACATGACCTACACCTGGAAGAGGAACAGGACCATGCCAGGATCTGGTGATGGGTCTCACACAGGCGGAGATGTCCTGACAATAACACACATCAGCAGAGAGAACCAGGGATACATCTACACCTGCCAGGCTGTGGAGGAGGAGCTGGAGTCTGACTGGAGTCACGGACACGTACTGGATGTTCACTGTGAGTAAGAACTTACTTGTTTAAAGCATAAGAACGAAGTACATCTTATCTTTGCATCTGTGATTCTGAGCGACAGTTTTGTTGAAGCTCATCGTGCTGTGTATAAAGAACCAAGACGCCCTGAATTATTATCATCAAAGTATGTTGGCGGGTCGGATCGGAATTAGAGACACTAACGCCAAAATCAGTTATGCAAAGTCTCAGTTTCACAGGCGGATGCTACCGGTAGGACAGGTCATGCTTACCAATTTCGCGAACACTTGGTGACCTTGCTGATTTTCAGCGGTCCATTCACATAATGTCCACAGCCATTGCCATATGCGCCAAGTGGAATCTATTTTGGCAGAACATCTAGGCTGGTTATTCTCTTGCATTGACAATTTATTAATGCAGTTTCAAAGGCAAAATCCAAAATACATGATCACTATAAAAATAGTGTTACGACACTGTAGCTTACCTGGATATGTTCGCAAGGGTTTAAAATATCAAAGAAGACTGACACTTACAAAAGTTTCTTTTATGTTCATTCTGTGCTATCTATTCCCAGTATTCACAGTATTCACACATATGTTACAGAAAAAATCTCATATGTAAATCACAGTATTCATACTGATGTTACAGAAAGAAATTACACGTGTATACCACATATCTTCCAAAAACAAACTACAGATGTTTAACACAGTATTCACACATGTATGTTACAAAATATAACTGCACATGTACATGTCACTGTATTCACACATGTATGTTACACAATCAAACTTTACATATATATATATATCACAGTATTCACACACATGTTACAAAACTAACTGCACGTGTATATCACAGTATCAACATATATGTTACACAACTAACTGCACTTGAATATCTCAGTATTCACACATATGTCACAAAAACAAGCTGTACGTGTATATCACAGTATTCACACATATGTCACAAAAACAAGCTGCACGTGTGTATCACAGTATCAACATATATGTAACAAAAACAAGCTGTACGTGTATATCATAGTATCCACATATATGTAACAAAAACAAGCTGCACGTGTATATCACAGTATCCACATATATGTAACGAAAACAAGCTGCACGTGTGTATCACAGTATCCACATATATGTAACGAAAACAAGCTGCACGTGTGTATCACAGTATCCACATATATGTTACAAAACAAGCTGCACGTGTATATCACAGTATCCACATATATGTAACAAAACAAGCTGCACGTGTATATCACAGTATCCACATATATGTAACAAAAACAAGCTACACATGTGTATCACAGTATCCACATATATGTAACAAAACAAGCTGCACGTGTATATCACAGTATCCACATATATGTAACAAAAACAAGCTGCACGTGTATATCACAGTATTCACACATATGTTACAAAACAAGCTGCACGTGTATATCACAGTATTCACACATATGTAACAAAAACAAGCTGCACATGTGTATCACAGTATCCACATATATGTAACAAAAACAAGCTGCACATGTGTATCACAGTATCCACATATATGTAACAAAACAAGCTGCACGTGTATATCACCGTATCCACATAAATGTAACAAAACAAGCTGCACGTGTATATCACAGTATCCACATATATGTAACAAAAACAAGCTGCACGTGTATATCACAGTATTCACACATATGTTACAAAACAAGCTGCACGTGTATATCACAGTATCCACATATATGTCACAAAAACAAGCTCCACGTGTATTTCACAGTATTCACACATATGTATCACAAAACAAGTTGCACGTTTAAACCACAATATCCACACGTATGTTACAAAACAAGCTGCACATGTATATCACAGTATTCACACCTATATCATAAAACACACTGCACGTGTATTTCACAGTATCCCCACATATCAAACAAAACAAGCTGCACGTGTATATAACAGTGTACACACATATGTTACAAAATAAGCTGCATGTGAATATCCCAGTATTCACATATGTATCACAAAACAAGTTGCACGTTTAAACCACAATATCCACACGTATGTTACAAAACAAGCTGCACATGTATATAACAGTATACACACATATGTTAAAAAATAAGCTGCATGTGAATATCCCAGTATTCACACATGTGTCACAAAGCAAGTTGCACGTTTATACCACAATATCCACACGTACATGTATGTTACAAAACAAGTGACACATTGAGTCTGAATGACCATAATATATTATACATTCCAGATGGACCTGACCAGATACAGTTTAACGGCGCTAGTGATAGACTTAAAGCAGAAGAAGGGAAACCTATCACGGTGAGATGTTCTGCTGACTGTAACCCCGCCTGCACTGTGACCTGGTTGGACACATCCAGACAGAGGGTGATCACGGGACAGAGGGAGGCTGTGTTGTATATACCAGCTGTTGACATATCTGTGTCTGGACAGTACACGTGTCACACCAACAACACACATGGGAATACATCACGGAACCTGACCCTGGAAGTTTTCTGTAAGACTCCTACAACATTAGGGACAGACTTTAGTAACAGAATCAGTGGCATGCAAGCATTTATTTGGATAAACAAAACATGATTGATAACATGTTCAGTCATTTCAGCTGCCGTAAACGCTGTTGTTGCGAAATTTCAGAGTAATTATTGAAACGAGTATGTCATAATGCATTATTTAAATTACCATGTGACACATAAATATTCAACCTTATTTCGTTGAAACATAGCTTATTCAGCATAAGGCTACCGATAAGCAGAACAAGAAAGGACACCACACCCAGCAAAACATGTGCAGATACAGAATAGCTCTGGTATGATATATTCCGATGATCAGCCGTTCTGACTGTACCACCCACTCCCATTCATTTAACAGTATAGATCAAGCGCCGAACACACACACACACACACACACACACACACACACACACACACACACACACACACACACACACACACACACACACACACACACAGAGAGAGAGTGTGACAGACAGACAGACAGACAGACACACACACACACGCACACACACACAGACACACACACACAGACAGACAGACAGACACACACACACACACACACACACACACACACACACACACACACACACACACACACAATCCTAGAAGTTATCTCTCCAAGGGAAAATAACATTAGAAACATCATAAACTGCAAGTATTGCATTTTGAATGTTCCAGCACAAGAGGCTACTGGAGTTGGCGTCGCTTCGACCGTCCCTGTGGCTGCTGTCTGTTCTGTCCTGATCGTCGTCACCGCTGTGGTCGTCATATTTCTTGTTCGTAGAAAACAGACACGTGAAGGTAATACTGTGTGAAGTGAGTGTGAATGAGCACAACGTGAGAGTCACAGAATCCTGCATTCCAGCAGTATTGGATCCACTTAAGTCCATGAAGACCTGATTACCGCGAACAGAAAATTCTGGAGCACTTTTTCGGAAAACCAGCCCGTTTGGCAATTTCAAATATGAATCTCACTTCATTGACGTTGCTAAATAACGTGTTGCGGTTTCTACATTATGACAGTATATTTCAGGAGAAACACAGGAAAAACAAATATTTAAAGAGTGTAAAGCGTTATCGCGTTCGGTTTCGAATATATGTTTCAAGTTTCAAATCTACGTTCGAAAGCTCTATATCAAACGCTCTAGGTTTATCTTCTTAATGAATACATGTATGAACTGGTTGTTTGCACACCCACCAAGCATTGTTGGCCGCTGCTCACATTAGTGACCATTCATCAAGATATCAGAAACCGCCCTTCAGTTTCGTTAACTACCAATGAGTCCTGTATTCAGCTGATCGATTCATGTCAACGAAACAATTATTTTTCCTGACCTAAAATTGTAAACTGTACAATATATTCTGGATTTAAAATTCTTCCTGGAGTTTAATGTAATCACAGTATGTGGTGTGTACAGCTAAGTGTGTGTGTCATCACGCGGGAATAGTTCGAGTCTCAATATATTAAGTAAAATCAATTAAATGAAAAAAAATGATCAATACGATATACGCGAAACAAGGACGGCATTGTGGTCTTATCTATTTAATGGGATGAATAGCTGTTTAAGGTTGTTGTTGTTGTTAACCGCAGTGTCATGCCATGAAAATGACGGTCTTGGTGAGGGTCGTATGTGTGTGGATAGGGAGGGGGGTTGTAATGATCATCGTTGTTATTAATATTAATGGGTCTAATCAGTTATTTAGGTTTCTTCCGTGTCGTTGACTTTGAATAAACGAAAAGACGGCTATGCTTCCCTGTCCCTGATGGCCATAATTAATAATCACAAGGATCAAAACCAAGTCTGTGTGAGGAAAGTGAGTCACACCTTTGTTTAAGGAAGAGTATTACTACTGAGATTATATGCATAACCTTTCACTCTCGTAAATACAGTAGGTCAGACACGATGTTAAGAATGGAATAAAATAAATATATATTATCATTTCTCAGGTATGCAATGAAATGATTAATTAGTTTATCTTGAAATATGTATCCATTGTTATCTAAAGACATTTCTAACTTTCAGAGAGGGGATACATTCATAACCGGTGAGTACATGCTGTCCATCATGTCACTGACCTTGCATAGTCAGATGAATAAAACCGTATACATACAGCTAAACTGATAGTGTATCACAGATTATCTGATGACTAGTTTGCCTTGATTAGTTCTTTCTGCTTTAATCATTTTGAATTCCTTTCCCTCAGCGTAGTCACATATACCCGGGACGAGGAAACAGACGGAAGCTACCAGGAAATAGAAGGTTGGTGTCGTAAATAATAATTAGTCATTCAACGCCATTGCAATTATATCGCATTATGCTTCTTAAATTTTACAGGGTAATCGCGAATCATTACATGAATAATGTAATCAACCCTTTCTTGAAAACAGTTCCTATTCTTTCATTTGGATAACCTTTAATGGACATACTGTTAAGTCATAACTTATCACTAATATAAATTTGTTTCTGTCGTCAAGTTGTGACTTCTGAGAAACGTTAAGCACTGATTGACCTTTTAAAATCATCAGCCACACTGACTCTTTTACCCCAGTGCAGCTGTATTTAAACTTCTTAATCCCTTAAGAGGAAACGAGTCACATGTCACAGCATACGTCAACCTATTTACCATCAGGTTCAAGGTATGCAATGACAAGGAGTCATCTGTTATTCATCTTGTATTTTGTATACATAATTACCTGCCCAACGTTGTAACTTTCAGAGGGAGGATCCATTCAAAATCGGTGAGTATCTGCCATCGATCTTCAAGTGAAATGAATTAAAAGTTACTCTGATATGGCCTTGCCTGGCCATAACGGCGAAACTACATACAAGCTGTTTAACACAATGTAACTTGAAAATGTATCACAGCTTATCTGTAGGCTAACTTGTCTCTTATTTTTTAAAATTCATTGTCACCAGGGTGGTCTCATATGCCAAGGATGATGACAAAGATGGGAGCTACCAGGAGATAGAAGGTTGGTGTCTTTAGGTTGTCTACTGGTTTGATTTTGTAATGACCTGATCTAACGACTTATTGTAAGTCAATCTATCTCCCGTCTAAAGCCGAAAGGCTAAGACCAGGGCCCACTTGCACAAAGGGATCTTAGCGCTAAGATGATCGTACTACCATACTTTAACATAGGCTTACAATAGTCGTAGCACTAAGATCATTTTGTGCAAGTGGTCCCAGGAGTCAAATCATCAAGGATGGCATACTGTAGAAAACGAGTGGAAAATATTTACCATATGCTCAACAGCATTCATGGAATGCCACTGGACATTAGATAATGAGAGAAACACTAAAGGGGAAAAATAACTTTGCTTCATATAAAGTTGACTAAAAAATGATTTATTCTGAATTTAAATAATGCATCTTTTAATACATATCCATGAAGACATATCATCCACTTTAATGTCGTGATTCACAATTACCCATGAATTTTCATGCACAGCGCACAATTGGGATATTTATTGGGAGCACGATACCCACACACATGTTTTTTTTAATGTAAACAGTTCACAATGAGTGTTTAGCTGTCCGGTGCTCATAAAATTAACGTGCCGTGGGTAAGCCGCGAACAAGAATTGCGCAAATCGAAGCTGGAAGACACTTAAATGTTCACTGAAACACAATATTATTTCTATTGAGACGTTTTCTACAGCAGCGCAACACTAATGTCACGTGTGACTTCACGTCAACAAACAACCAATTCGGTTTGTGTATCGACGGAATCGATACCAAACTGCCACATGAACAGCTCATATATGCGAACGTTCTTATCTATTTGTGAAAGGGTTTTATAGATGTAAATGTTCCCTATTTTAGGTAAATATATTAAAACAAATGTTTTATTATACTTTTATGCAAAATGATTACCTGATTACCTAAAATGCACACAAATCCCTTGATTGTTCATTTGGATATTTAGATCAAACAATAACAATTATACAATAACTATCATAAAATAGGTTAAATAGTCTTCATATATCAGCAGACATCCCGAAGTCATATCGTGTTATTTTAAAAGCCATAATATGATCTCTTGATGACACCTTTAAACATATAAGGGAGCAATCGTGAATCACAACCTGGGTTATGTAATACGCCATCTTCGAGAAATGGATAGTTGTATTGGTCATACGCATTGTCATTTCATACGGCATTAATCCCTTATGTTTGAGATATGTCACTGCACGGTAGACAGTTTCCTGTGAAGTATCATATTGACTATACATGTGTGTAACTTTTGTCTTACACCAGAAGCGGTGAACGTAGACGACATCGCCCCTCTTGTAGCTGTCTACTCTGTTATGCTCACAGCTGTGGCGGTTGTGGTGGCAGCAGTTGCTATTCTTGTCTGCAAGGACGTAAAAGGTAAGGAAACAAATTACAATTCAGTCAACCTTATGCCCACATTTTGTCAAGTAACTAGAAAGTCTTGTTTTGTCAGAGTTGTCTTTTTTGGTGAAAATATATGTTTTGCGCGAAGTTTCATTCGTTAAAGAATTTGACACGTACAACGTTTCTTTACTTTCAGATGATCACAGCAGAAGGTACATACTTTTTTTTTATTGTTGCAGGTGAAATACCTGAGTTATAATTAGGTCTCGGGTTAACTTCATATCGTTGGAAACCCCCACCGATATTTCTCCTGTTTCTATTTAATCTGAAGCAACATAATTTGAGTTACCTGAGACAATGATAATACAATAGTTAAATAAAACAATGGCTGTATTTCCATTTGTATCTTGTGATGGTTATTCCTCAAATGAATGTATGCTATGTATGTTTAGTACAGAAGGGTGGGAAAATGTTGTTAAAGTTGTGCTTGTTTTAAGTCGGAGATGGATAATTTGTTTAGAACAAAAAGGTTTCCCTTCATATAATAGGTTGTATTGCCAGCCGCATTTAAACAATATACATGTATCCTTCATTGTCTGTGCAAGTCAATTTCACATGTAAGGTACAATTTGTGATATACGTTTTACCTTGTAATTATAGATTTGGTGAATATCTCACTGTGGTGGGCGAGAGACTATCCTGTAACATCAGTGATGCACCTTGTGCTGCCATCAATGACGAGGATGCCTTATCCTTGCATGATTATGAGCGACTACTGAGGGAACAGTTCCACATCTACATGTGTCTCCACCCTTCGGCTTCCTCCACAGAGGACCACCGTACCAGGTGCAGCCTAATGTGAGAGAACAGTTTCCCATCAACATGTGTCTCAACCCTTCAGATTCCTCTACACACGTCCACTGTACCAGGTGCAGCCTTATTTGAGGGAACAGTTTCCCATCTACACGTGTCTCAACCCTTCAGCTTTCTTTATGGACGTCCACAGTACCAGGTGCAGCCTAATGTGAGGGAACATTTCAACATTTACACGTCTCTCTCCACCCTTCAACTGCCTCTACAGACGTCCACTGTAACGGGTCAAGCCTAATGGGAGGGAACAGTTCCACATCCACACGTCTGCCCATCCTTCAGCTTCCTCTACAGACGTCCACAGTGCCAGGTGCAGCCTAATGTGAGGGAACAGTTCCACATCCACACGTCTGTCAATCCTTCAGCTTCCTCTACAGAAGACCACAGTACCCGGTACAGCCTAATGTGAGGGAACAGTTTCCACATCCACACGTCTGTCCATCCTTCAGCTTCCTCTACAGAAGACCACAGTACCAGGTACAGCCTCATGTGAGGGAACAGCCAAAGGGAAACGTTTACCCCGATGTGCGATGCAAGGAAAGCTTCGAGGCCCTGACGTTTCATGGTTTCGATATATCAAGCGGGGGATCACATTGACATTAACATTAATGCAATATTATCGCTTTTAACATTATTATAGAACACGTCAGACTACGTTCATTTCATATGGAAATATGATTAAGTAAAACCTCATTATGTGTGACGCACTGCCAGCAAATCACACCAGAAGCTGAAATCTGTCAGTGTTTACTCAACATCATCGCGACGATGTTTCTGCTTTACATTGTGGCCGGAAGACTATATCTGTGTGGTATATATCTGTCTTCGTCAACAACATTTGGCATTATATATAGTTGTTCTTTTGTTCTTGATTTTTTTAATAAATTCGCACCTTTCTGTCAACTGTCAATATGCATTTATCAATAGGTTTGTATGATGAGTATTTGGTTTGCGTGCAGGTCTGGCCTCCGTAACAGCTGACTACCCACACGCTGTTACACGTGTTGGCTACTATATTAACATAACCGTGAGCCTAGCTAATGTCAGCCACCTATATTACGTATGGAGGAATGGTTCAGAAGTTGTAAGACTGGTCGTGCCTAAGTCACAGAGTGTAGAGGTACTCAACAGGAGTAACACTGGCTACACCACCAGGATCAGATACACAGGGGAGGTCCCACCATCACAGACCGGACAGCTGACGGTCTCTGTAACCGTATAACCTCAACATGTCCTCTACCTCCCGGAGTCTTCCCCTAGACTGGTCTCTGTACTCGTATACCCTGAACACGTCCTCCACCTCCCGGAGTCTTCCTCTAGACCAGTCTCTGTACATGTATACCCTGAACACGTCCTCCACCTCCCGGAGTCTTCCTCTAGACCAGTCTCTGTCCTCGTATACCCTGAACACATCCTCCACCTCCCGGAGTCTTCCTCTAGACCGGTTTCTGTACTCGTATACCATGAACACGTCCTCCACCTCCCGGAGTCTTCCTCTTGACTGGTCTCTGTACTCGTATACCCTGAACACGTCCTCCACCTCCCGGAGTCTTCCTCTAGACCGGTCTCTGTCCTCGTATACCCTGAACACGTCCTCCACCTCCCGGAGTCTTCCTCTAGACCGCTCTCTGTCCTCGTATACCCTGAACACGTCCTCCACCTCCCGGAGTCTTCCTCTAGACCGGTCTCTGTACATGTATAACCTGAACACGTCCCACACCTGGAGGAGAAACAACAAGAGGATAGATAAATTCGGCGACTATGCTTGTCGTTAGAGGCGACTAACGGGATCGGGTGTTCAGGCTCGATGCTCATGTTGTCAATCACTTGATTGTTTTGTCCAGACTCGATTATTTACAGACCGCCGTCATATAGCTGGAATATTGCTGAGTGCGGCGTTAAACAACAAACAAACAAACATTAAATTCTATATAGCCTCTGTCTCGATAGTCGCAAGTCAATACTGACTATCTGTAAAACTAGGACAAATCGTAAGTTTGCAGGAAAGATTCTTACCACACACACACACACACGCACGCACGCACGCACGCACGCACGCACGCACGCACGCACGCACGCACGCACGCACACACACACACACACACACACACACTACCCTACAGAGAGACGACAGCATTGTCTCGTCACACGGAAGACCCAGGTTCGATATAAGCATAGATTACTCACGACTACAAATCATCAGCAGACGGGAGTGTAATATATTCAGCTTGTATTTGTGTATGTTTTGCCGCTTTCTCAAAACTCAGACGTCAGTACCATGTGATGTACTTTAGTAACATTAAGAGCAACATTAGAATGTTTCCAAAATAAATATCAGAGACAATTTATTGTTCATTCATGTCTTATGTCTCTGGCTCAGGGTTTCATACCTGGTTTCATACCCTAGACACAAGTCAGTACGATACTAGAACACACAATTTGTTCCACGTGTGTCAGCTTCAACATTCATGATGTTTAATTATGTTAAAGTTGACTTGCCTGCAATTTAACCTCAGTTTTTCATCTTTCAACTTT